TCTCTTTTCTTTTTTTGACTTAACTAGTATTTAATTATACCCATTATTAAAAAAATTAATAATATTAAAATTATTAATATTTTCTTAATTGTATATCCAATTATTTATAAATAGAGAAGTAACTCAGAAGTAAATCATAGAAGTATAATTTAAGGGAAAAAAATTAAATTTTATATTTAGCGTGTCTTGAAACTTTTATAGATTTGAGGAGTGTTACAATCTTTCCTCCTTAAAAACATTCGTCCTCGAATGTTGCTAGGGCCTTACTCTTAAGCTAACAATCATTCCTAGGTCCTTGAACTTTTTAAGTTTTCTTAGCACTACTCACTTTTCCAAGGGACTCAAAAATTTGGATTTTCAAAAATTTCGGCAGAGTCTCCCTTGTAAATTGGAGTATCGAAAAAAAATATCCCTGTCACCAATACCATAACTATACCAGCAACAACTAAATATACCATAACAGGCCATTCATAGGCACCATACACAACTCATAAACTAACTACTCACACTCCGACAAGGAGGTACTACAATAACCAACCAAAATCTAAAGCACAACACTTCTGCAAAAAGTAAATAACTTTAATGAATTAAATATACTCTAGCATGGCACTAAATTATTAAATAATTAAATATACTCTGACAGAAACTAAATTTCTTCAACAACTAAGTATAATCTAACAAGGACAGAAACACATGCTAACTTGTATTTAATAAATAAAATATAAATGCCAAACCAAACTTAGGTTCACATACCTTTTTCCTCAAATAAATATGGATATTTCTTCCTCATATCTTCCTCGACCTCCCACGTAGCCTCTTTTGAATCATGATTACTCCACAAAACTTTTACCGATGCTATATCTTTTGTTCTTAACTTTCTTACTTGCCTATCGAGAATTTCTATAGGTACCTCTTCATAAGTCAAGCCTTCTTTAATTTCTATGGTATCAGCAGGTATTATATGCGACTCATCATGAATGCACTTTCTAAGCATAGACACATGAAAGACAGGATGAACAGAGGACAACTCAACGGGCAACACTAGCTCATAAGCCACGTTTTCTTTCTTTTCTAGAATTTCATAAGATCCGATAAATCTAGGACTAAGTTTCTCTTTCTTACCAAACCTCATAACTCCTTTCATTGGTGAAACTTTCAAAAATACCTTGTCACCAAACATGAACTCTAAGTCACGATGCCTCTTGTCATATTAGGACTTTTGATGACTCTGAGCTGCTTTCAGTCTTTCTCTGATTAGCTGGACTTTCTCTAACGCCTCACAAACAAACTCTGGACCAATCAATGGCACCTCTGCTGGTTCAAACCAATCCACTGGAGACCTACATCTTCGCCCATACAACGCTTCATAAGGAGCCATACCAATGCTGTCCTGATAACTGTTATTATAAGCAAATTCTATAAGTGGCAAGTGATCATCCCAATTACCTCCAAAATCTATAACATATACCCGCAACATATCTTCGAGTGTCTGAATAGTCCTTTCTGCCTGGCCATCGGTCTGTGGATGGAAAGTGGTGCTCAAATTGACCTTGGTAACTAATCTTTTCTGAAATGCCTTCCAAAAATGCGCTGTGAACTGAGGGCCTCTGTCAGATATGATTGAAACTGGAGTACCATGCAATCGGACTATTTATTTAACGTACAACTGCACATACTGCTCTACGGAATCTGTCGTCTTTACTGGTAGGAAATGCGTGGACTTTGTCAGTCGGTCTACAATAACCCAAATTGAATCATGCTTACGGTATGTGCGAGGTAGACCTACTACGAAATCCATTTCCATTGTGGTATTTCTATATCTTGAGCTAGGCCACCAGGCCTCTGATGCTCGGCTTTGACTTGCTGACAATTCAAATATTTAGCCACATGATCTGCTACTTGCTTCTTCATGTCTTTCCACCAATACAAACCCTTTCAAGTCCAGATACATTTTGGTAGCACCTGGTTGGATAGAGTACCTCGAGCTGTGAGCTTCTTTCATTATGTCCTTTCTAAGATCATCTACATCAGGCAAACATAATCGATCATTCAACTTCAAAACTCCGTCACTTCCTATAGTGAAAACAATAATTTCTTTATTTCTGACTCCTTCTTTCAACTTCACTAAGTACGGATCTTCGTCTTTCTTAGCCCTAACATGCGCAAACAAGGGAGGATTGCGCTAAGGCATAAACAGTTATACCTCCTTCTTCGGTCTCATCCAATCTAATCCCATCATTTGCTAGTTTTTGAATTTCTCGACCCAAAGATCGCCTTTGTACTGCAAGATGGGCCAAAACACCCATTGACTTCCTACTAAGTGCATCTGCTACCACATTAGTTTTGCATGGGTGATAAAGGATATTGATGTCATAATCTTTCAATAGCTCGAGCCACCTTTTTTGTCTCAAATTTAATTCTTTTTGCTTGAAAATGTACTGGAGGCTTTTGTGATCTGTAAACACTTTAGAATGCTCACCATAAAGGTAGTGTGGCCATATCTTTAGTGCAAACACCACTGTTGCAAGTTCCAAGTCGTGAGTGGGGTAGTTCTTTTCATGATTCTTTAACTGCCTGGAAGCATAAGAAATAACTTTTCCATCTTGCATAAGAACACAACCAAGGCCCACTCTAGAGGCATCACAATACACTGTGAATCCATTCGAACCTGTCGGCAAGGTTAACACAAGTGCAGTGGTAAACCTCTTCTTTAACTCTTGAAAACTCTGCTCACAAGCGTCTAACCACTGGAACTTAACTTCTTTCTGAGTCAACTTAGTTAATGGAGCTGCAAGTGAGGAAAATCCCTCTACAAACCTTTTATAGTATCTAGCTAACCCCAAGAAACTCCTGATTCCGGTTAGCATTGTCGGCCTAGGCCAGTTCTTGATTGATTCTGTCTTCTGAGGATCTACTTTTATGCTTTCACTAGATACCACATGGCCTAAGAATGCCACGGACTGAAACCAGAACTTACATTTTGAAAACTTGGCATAAATCTCATTTTCCTTCAAGGTCTGCAAGGCTATCCTGAGGTGTTCGGCATGTTCATCCTTACTCTTAGAGCATACCAAAATATCGTCTATAAACACGATAATAAAGGTATCAAGGAATGACTTGAAAACTCTGTTCATGAGGTCCATGAATGCAGTTGGAGCATTTGTCAACCCGAAGGACATTACTAGAAATTCATAGTGCCCGTAGCGAGTTCTAAAGGCTGTTTTAGATATATCCTGTTCGCTGATTCTCAACTGGTGGTACCCCGACCTCAAGTCTATCTTTGAAAAGTACTTTGCACCCTGAAGTTGATCAAATAAATCATCAATTCTTGGAAGTGGGTACTTGTTCTTAATGGTAACATTATTCAACTGCCGATAGTCAATGCACATTCTAAGAGACCCATTTTTCTTCTTGATAAACAGGACCGGGGCACCCCACGGTAAATCAAGTTTCAAAACCTTTTTATATAAATAACATGACTCTTGGTTTATTTCAAAAGTAGCAGATTTATTTACTTCTATAGCATATTTAAAATTTAAATATAATTTTTCAAAATAAATACTTAAGCACAAATTAAGGATAAGTTACCTAATTTACCAAAAAGCTAGTACCAAAAAATAAGAGTTAGAAACCCTTTCTCTTCCAATTCTCTCTTTCTTTTTCCCAAACCCCTCTGCCATCCGTTCGGTTTCATCACCATTTTTCATCCCTTTTCCAAACGGAGATTCAACACATATGTATTAAGACTTATTGTTTAAAATTTGTTTTCCATTTTTCAAATTATGCACTCATTTTAAAGGGTTATTTGACCTTTTTCGCATTAGAAGTCTCTCGAAGTTGCAAATAAAATACCTGATATTTTATGGTTATACAATTTTTATTAATTATACATGATTTATATTGTATAATTATCATATGTATCCCTAAATTAATATACCACGTGTTTAAATAGTGTATAATTATAATATATCACTATTATACATAAATTATACCATGTATAATGCCTAACAAAGAAAATACCATGTATAATAGCTACAAATAATTTACAAAAAAATATGTATAAAATATGAATACAATTATTATACTGGTATTAAGAAATATATAAATATATAAGACCTATAAATAACTGAAACGAAATACGTGAAATATCAAAATACCATTATTAAACAAATTTCAAACAAAGTTACTTATCATACAAAATATAAGATATAATTATCAAATGTAATATAACGGATAGATATATCCGTTTAAGAAATGGAGCTACATTTATGAGCGAAAAAATCGGAAGGCAATATTCACATCTGGGACAGCTGGATTCCTATCACCAATTGGTATTTAATATGGTATGTAAATATTTAGTTGCTGCCAAATGTTAAAAGGTATGTAATGTACTGCTATGATTTTGTCCGGAGAAATTAAAAAATAGCTAGATTTACAAGTGGTAATTGAAAAATAGTTACAGTTTCAAAAATAATCGAAATTTAGCCATTTTTCATGTAAAGATAAATTTGAATGAAAACACTGTTCAAAATTCGAAAAATATTCCAGCATAACATATTTGAGTTCCAGTATAATATACCGGTTCAGCATAATACGTTGGAAATTCATACACATGCGCTCCAATCTCCAGTATATTATGCTGGAACTTTTTGCGTGTTGGAGTTCCAACATAATATACTGGAAGTTCATACATGTGTACCAATCTCCAATATATTATGCTGGACCGGCCCGTGTTGCAGCAAAATAGTGACTATTTTTCAATGATTTTGCAAACACTGGCTATTTTTGAATTACCAATCCAAAAAATGGCTAGCCCGTGCTATTTTTGCGATTGTCATATTTTTTTAAAATATTGCACAATTATGTTTTTTCCGTTTTTGTTTGTTAATAACGGCCCAATATCGCTTGAGCCATCCTAAGTAGTATCACAAGAACAATTCTTTGTTGCTATTTCAAGTTGGCGGGGGAGGGGTAATTGATATTGGACAACAGTTGCATGGTAGGCTTAACGTAAAAGCTATAATCAGTTCAGTAATAATCACAAAGACATATATTTCCTGAAGCTTTCAAATTAGTCATTATACCAATATGTAGAAAGAAGATTTAACACTTGGTGCTTAGCCTCACTGCACAACCAACACACATTTATACAAGCATCAATTGTATCCTTACTCGAGGGGATGCCCATCAAGTGACTTATGTTCCTCTCCCGTCGTACATCTTCAAGATTCTGAATGTGATGTCCAATAGATCAGACCGCTGCAATATGTGAAGAAATTAAAGTTTAGCATCCAAACCACAGCTAGCTTACAAGGAATAGCAGCATGATCTGTTTTTTCTTGATGCGCTAGCAAACAGGTTTACCAGATGTGATGTAATCTTTTCATGTACACGGCGGAGATACATCGTTTGTTAGTCTTATATGGGGTAAGAAAATGAAGTTGAAAGCTATTATTGGGTAAGAGAAGAAAAACTAGACAGCCTACTTTATTCTGATATTCTTGGCAAGACACAGGTCCGAAACCATTTGTTTCTATTTCTGTATCATTATGGCCGAACGAAATGTAAACAAAGAGGGAAGGGAGTGTGCGCAAGTCAGAGGGGACAGGTGGAGGAGTGGATGAACAACTAAAAATATAGTGCATACAAAATAACCTTTGAGGTGCTAGGCAATCACCATTTTCCCCATGCCATCTGAAGTTCTAAAATCTAATGTATATATTAAACAAAGTTACCTGATTAAAACAAACACACATTGCAGAACACCTGCAACTCCTGTCCAAGCTG